CAAACATATATATATACCAACTGAATATTTTTCTCTTTGACAAGATACATTTATATGTTCTAGAATGCAATTAAATTCTGGTATGATATATTACTTATATTAGTGACTACCATAATATTTCATTACTTCTGAAAATTTTTTATAATTTAAATGAATTGTTAAAGATCAAAAGTGAGGCCACTAGTTAATTTCATAATTAGAAGTATTATCATAATGCATTTTGAAATTTCATGTCAATTAACACATACAGGATGTCCCACAAAGGAACCCTGTTTTTAAAATGAAATAACTCAAAAGCAAAGATTGAAACAAAAGGTATATTTATTGGGGCAGCTGGTGAAAATCTGATACAGCAGTTTCACATCTAGTTACAAAACTTACCAATAGATGACACTGTTGTCGCAGTACATTCTAGAAAAATGTAATAAATGTGTTTTCTGCAAGCCATTGTTGCAATCTCATCACAATCTTTTCTAAATGTCCACTTTTCATAGTACAGAGGTGACGCAAACAAAAAAAACAAAATTTTCACACACACCTCCCATAGTGTGTCTAGGGAAATGGATGGACATGCCTCACAGATCGGCTCTTCAAGCTTGTCCAGTGTTGCAGGCTTCTTCTATAAGACAGTGTCCTTCAAGGTACCCTACAAAAAGTAGTCACAAGGGATAAGATTGGGTGAGTATGAAGGCCAATCCATGCCTCTTCCAGTAAATTTGGAATAGCCCAAAGCAATCCCCGAAATATTTCTCAAGGAATTGAAACATCTGTTTGGTGCGGTGTGGTTTTTTCCTGTTCCTGTTTGCTGAAAATGCTTCCTGTTCGCTGAAATTTATCGAAAAGCACAGGAATAGTTTTCAAATCAGGACCTCTTGCAACATTAAATGGGGATTGAAAACTGTACCTTGTTAGTGTAGGACTGTAATTTAACTTGTGATATTCCAGTACCAGAAGTCGCTGAACACTGGTAGTTCGGTCCAAGGTTTCTCAAGGAATTGAAACACCTGTTTGGTGCCCCATTTTGCATGAACCACAAAGTGCCTGGTCAATCCTCCAACACTAACAGTGTGGCAATAAATTGTTCCAACGTTTCAACATAACAATCAGAAGTGATCGTTTCTTTTAAAAAGAAGGGTTTGCTAATACACATTTACTGGATACTGCAGCCCAAACAGTTACTGTTGAGAATATAGTGGTTTTGCTTCACACAAATGGGGGTTTTCAGTACCCCAAAAATCATCAATTGTTTTTTGTTCACACCATTCACATGAAAATGTTCTTCATCTTTGAACCATATGCAGTTAACATCGAATCCATCATCATCAATCATTGTGAGCATTTTGTTCACGAACCTTCTCTGTATTGAACAGCTTGAGTGGGAATGGCTTAATGACACTGGATCTTGAATGGAAACACATTTAGTCTATTTCTCAATATTCTGTTGCCTGGGACCAACATTTCCCACTAACTCATCAGCTATGCTTCCTGTTCGCTGAAATTTATCGAAAAGCACAGGAATAGTTTTCAAATCAGGGCCTCTTGCAACATTAAATGGGGATTGAAAACTGTGCCTTGTCAGTGTAGGACTGTAATTTAACCTGTGATATTCCAGTACCAGAAGTCGCTGTACACTGGTAGTTCGGTCTGAGGTTCGAGGGCTGGCTCGTGGTTTTCCCCAAAATTCTACATCCAGTTTCCCTTAGAAAGTCTTCCACAAAGGCATCCCTTCCTTTAGGTCGATAACCCTTGAGGCTTTGTCGTAATTAAATAACCTAACCTATCCAGTATCAGAAAAACATGTTGTTCCATGATATACATGATTTCATGCACATCCTTTCATATCCTAATGTATTTTCACATTTTAACAGTGGAACTATCCACAGACTGATCACTCTTTGGAACTTTGGGGTTATACTGGTTTTCAACAGGCAATATATTGACCTGCTCTTAGCAGTCCCTTGGGCCTGATGTTGTGAATCCATAGAGTGATTTTCTCGCATAAAGGTACACTGTGCAAAAAAAAAAAGGACAATTCTATATCTCTTGTTCTACTGGGCCAATTGATAAAATTTTCAACTTGTGTTTTTCATGTCTCGAAAGCACAACTTAGGATATTTATTAGATTTACATAAAGCATTATTCTAATATAGGTATTTTGACACAAAATCAAACTTTTTCTGAAATAACATACCATTTTTTTTCCATATTTCAATTCTACGACTCAAATTACACCAAACTACCAAGTTTAATAAAAAATCGTACGAGTAGATTTTAAAAAATTAGCCCTCAAAATTTTAGCTCCTCAATGTTAATTGAGTTTGGTATTAATCTCTCTGTTTTTATTAAACTTATTTAATTCTTCCTTTCACGTTTCGAAATTTAGGTTCATTCAAATAATAAAATTCACCCATTTTTTTATAATTTATTTTTAAATATTTTTTTAAATTTTTGAATTATAAACTGTAAAATTTTTACCTTTATCTTAAAGTAGACATATTTCTAAGCATACCTGCAAAAAATTATAGTTTTGTATTTAAATTTTCAAAGATATATGTGAATTTATATATTGGTGCGTTTTGAAATTTAGCATATTTGTTGAAAGCGATAAAACATCAAATGTGGTTTAGACACTTTGCTAAAATTATTTGGAAGTAGAAATGTGACTTTTTCCCCTTTCATGCACAATGTAAAAATCAGGACCTCTTGCAACATTAAATGGGGATTGAAAACTGTACCTTGTTAGTGTAGGACTGTAAATTAACCTGTGATATTTCAGTACCAGAAGTCGCTGAACACTGGTAGTTCAGTCCGAGGTTTCTCAAGGAATTGAAACACCTGTTTGGTGCCCCATTTTGCATGAACCACAAAGTGCCTTTTTTTCTGCTCCATCATAATGGAAGGGAAAGGAAAGTTGATTGCCACGTATGAAGAAGTTCACCAAGTGAATTATTCTTTCTGCTAACTGAAAATAATAAGGCCAAGATAAATTTTTAAATATCCCCATGAATTTTGCACCAAGTTTTACAAAATTTAATATCTGGGCATAATTTGAGTCGTAGAATCGAAATATGGAAAAAAATTGGTATGTTGTTTCAGAAAAGCTGATTTTGTGTCAAAATACCTATGTTAGAACAATGCTATATATAAATCCAATACATATCCTAAGTGGCGCTTTCGAGAAATGAAAAACGCAATTTGAATTTTGTCAATTGGGAGAATGGGAGAAATAGAACTGCCCCCCCTTTTTTTGTGCAATGTACATCTGAAAGGGTGTGGTGTGTGTGATTATGGCAAAGCCTCGAGGGCTATCTGCCTAAGGGAAGGAATGCCTTTGTGGAGAATTTCTAAGGGAAACTGGCTCGTAAACATGTTACACATGGGAAAACCTCAAAAATGCCCATGCAGCCAGCCTGTTCGCAGGATTCGAACCTCGGACCGAACTACCAGTGTTCAGCGACTTTACCGCTCAGCCGCTGGTGGGCCACATCTGAAAGGGACTGATCTCTCTGGACTTCAGATCACTCTTTATACAGATTCTTTCTTGGTAATATAGCATACAACAACACCTGTTGGAAACTTTTGTAGCTAAATGTGAAACTTCTGTATCAGCTTTTTTACAGCTGTCCCAATAAACCTCCCTTTTGTTTCATTCTTCTATCAACCTTTATTTTCGAGTTATTTAATTTTAAAAAGGGGAAAGTCCTTTGTGGGACATTCTGTATCAAAAACTGAAAAAATCATTACAACTATTGTAAAAAGTCAAGACATCATTCACCAAAATCTTTTATTACTTAGCTTCTATATGACTTCATAATAATATATATTTTATACAATGCAATAACTCCAATTTCTTTCCTTTCCTGCAGGGTTTAAAAAGGAGTGAACAAAGTATAATGACTGACATATTCCGGTCTCATCAGCCAGCTGTACCAAACACTGGACACCAGCAAGATCCTGAAAAAAGTGTTGCAACTGTAACCTCAACTACACCTGAACATGAATCTAGTCGAATAAGGAGGCTTGAAAAACTAATCAAACGTTTGTAAAATAAAGTACATATTTTTCATTGTGGGCCAATAAAATTTTATTTTTCTGTGATTTTGTAAAACTTTTGAAAAATAATTAATGAAGATATGGTTAAAGAAAATAATTTTATATTGCATTTGGATGTAATATCAGTTAAGAGAATCATATGCATTCCATTTTCTGTTTTTTTAGATGTTGCCATCAATCCACTGCTAAGTGTATAAAGCAGTTATTATAACATATATTGATGTAATGGTATAAGTTTGAAATATAGCTTGAAAGGATAAAAAATAGCAAAATTGAATTTGTATCATAAATTAAATATTAATAATAAAAATACATCATATAAGCAACTGTATATATGTTCCAAGCAATTAAAATGGAATTTATTTCAAATAATTTAAAGCTGTGAAAGATTTAACTGTTTTAAAGATTATAGGTGTAATGCTGTAATAATTTATCATTGACCTTAAAGTGCATTAGAACAGTATTCTACATATTCTCTTGATTATGATTTCCAAAAAGAAAGGGGAAAAATGGGATTTTTTCCCCCTGATTTGAATATTTTTAATGTGTATCCTGTTCTAAGATTATGTTACCAAATGTGAAATTATGTTACCAAACAAAATTCATATTCTGTTTCTTATGAAATTTTGGAAAACGATTAAAATTTGTCATTCACTTGTACACCTAATTATTTGAGCTATGTAACACTCCATGTTTCATATTATTTAATAATCATGTGCATATGTTTTGCCAATACAGAAGTTCTTTCTTACATGCTGTAATGGAAATAATCTTTTATTTTTGCATGTAATGCCTCTGAAATATCTAAATTTTGCTTCATTATGTATTAATCATAACTTAGAATCAGCAAACAGGGGAGGAAACAGTTATTTTCATTACAGGAATATATGAATTTAAAAAGTTACTCATCAAAAGCTCTTTATTTTGCATAGAAATCATGCAGAATAATTAATAACAGTAACAGAAATTTGCCCAGAAAAAACAGAGAATAATAAGTAGTAATGTTAATTTTTTTATTCATTATTTTGTACATATATATTTTATATCGTGGCATCACTGCCTTTATGACGTTCATACTGTTTCACTTATGAGAGACTGTGTAACTATTTATTTTTAAATTCATAACCAAAATCGAAGAGTATTGGTAAAAGAAAATTTAGTTACTCTTATTTTGGTATAAATTTATATGAACGTAGCATGAGTTTGAAGTTTCAATTCCAAATGTTAATACTACTGATTCATTTTCTGAAGAAGTTTCACAACTAAAATTGAAATAGAACTTTCTTTTATTTATAGAAAGAAAACGTTTCCTCTGAAACTTGTTGAAGAATTATTTTTTTAATAAGTTATTTACAAATTTTCAAAAAGTTTCTATGATTCATTCTTAGAACTGTGAACAGTAGGAAGCTATCCATTACTTGATTTAATCCTAGTATACGGTACCCATGGGATTTGGCGACATTATGAAGAGCAGTAAACGCGGCATTTATGATGAGTAGCAAACAAGTCATTTTGATGTTGACGACAATTTTTAAAATCACACCAAGGCCATACAATATACTAGGATTTCACCAATTTAATCAAATTTACAAAATGAATACAAACATTCGTATTCATGTGAAAGTTTCGACAACTTAACTCATACGTAGGTACACTGAATGCAACTAATAACCAATTGATTCAAGCGATGTCAAATTTGGCTAAGATGGTTGCCATTTACATTTTCTTTGTCTATTATGTACAAAGCTAATCAAACTGCTGAGAAATAAAGTTCCTAACTGGATTTGGACCATGTGACAATTGGTCACACCCCCTCCGCACCTACTATTCTGTCTGCTATTAGTTTACCTCAAGTGCCCTTAGAAGCATTAACTTCATGAAAACCGAAACAATCAAAAAATACTAAATGCAATTTGTATAGTGTTGCGAGTTTAATCCTAGTATACGGTATATACAGGATTTGGCAACATTATGATGAGCAGTAAACATGGTGTTTAGGATGAGCTGTAAATGAGTCATTTTGGTATTGGCGACAGTTTTCATAATCCTGCCAAGGCGTACCATATACTAGGATTTTACCACTTGGTTTAATTAAACACTACAAAAATATGTGGACTAGGTAAAAAGCTTTATATTACTTTTATGTTTAATTAAATATTGCAAAGATCAGTTAATTATTTAACTAACCCACAAGATACTATTCAATAGGTTATGAAAATAGTAAAGTAGAATTAGTGGTTGAACTTGCTGTTTCATTAAATAATATATTTATTAAATCTGCATAAAAGTGCTTATATGAACTAATAAAATTTTGTATATTTAATATTTTTATTTAATTAGTACAGGTTTTTAATTAAAATGTGAAACAGTTAATGCTAAATGACATAAAGAAACATGAACTTGGTTTGGGATTTCATAGACTGCCCTTAAATGTTTTCAGATAAGATTCCAGATCTAAAATATATTGAATGTTTGAAAAATTCAAATATCAGTTACAAGATTATTAAAAGTTATTACTTGATTAAAAAAATTAGAAATTGTAGATGCAGATTTATTAGGCATCTAGATTACATTATTGTTCATTATTAGATTTACATTATTACATTATTGTTCATTATTACATTATAATGTACTTTCTTTACATTATTGTTCCACAATTTTTTTAGAAATTATCTAAAATTTTTTAATCAACCAAATTACAATGCAAACCTATTATACTATAATAAAATTTCTTATTTCCCATAAATATGACTAATAAATTGAATATATTCACACTTACAACAATATTCAGTTAGGAAATTGCTTTAAAAGCTCTTTATAAACATAAATACATGGCAGATTATTTAAAATGCAAAATAACATTTCTGGCATACAAATGTAATACTTATAATTCAAAATTTGTTCTTAAAACACATATGAAAAAATTCACTATTATGGTTACCTTTGAATTCAGAATTATTTTTCTCACCAGAAACATCTTGTTGTCTTTGTTTTCATAAAATGATATAGTAAAAACTAGAGTAAATCTTCAAGAATACAGCTAAAGTTACAATAATAGATGGAAAAGTTCTTAGATAACACCATTTATTAATTTTGGACTTTCACAGTCACTATTGGTTTCTTGATTATAACAATTTTCCACAGCACTGCTATTTAATGATTTAACATCAACTGGATATTCATCTTCTGCAATTGGTAAGATTTTCTGACCAGGTATAAGTGCTACTCCAGTTACGAAATAACTTTGCGCGCGAGGTTCGTATATATATATCGAGCAGTACGTATGAATCTTCTCTTTCGGAAAAATATTCACGGTTTCCGAAAAAAGAGTCATCGTAAATTTATGTTTGAATTCAATGGCTTCATAATGTGTGGAAATCTCTTCAACACTAAGATCAACGGTATTATCATCAAGAATAGGTTTCGGTTCTAACGATGCAGCAGCGGTAAATAATTTAACATCATTTACTTCATCCGAGGAATAAGTGTACAGCGGAGATGACTTTTCCCACTTTTCTTCAACAGTTAAATAGGTGATGAAGCGAGTAGGAATCAATTTCGTGATTATATATACCGAAGTGCAGAAAGATTTCCCGCCTTCCACTTTGCACGTGCTCGTATATGAGGTGGTCGATCTCGGTCCATCTTTGCGTAGATTAACGGATTCGGAATATGCTATCGGAATCAAAATCATACTAGACTTTGTCGATTCCGTTTTAATACCGTCTTGCTGCATCGCGAAAGAAATTTTTATTGAAATGATAATGCTCTCCAAAACCCCTTATTGAACTAATGAATTGAAAGTGTTCACATCAGAATACTGCGTCTGTCGGTTATAATGTCGTCATATCCGGTTAGCCTTAAATGCGTAGGCGAAGTTCTATATCCCGTGATTACCAGACAGCGTTCCTTTTCTTTATCTGCAAAAAGAAAAAAAAAAAAGGTGAACGCCAGAGCAAAATAGCTTCATTATCTCATTTTAAATAATGACTTAAGATTCCGTAGTCTAGCGTTTGCTTTGTTTAGTTTGTTTAAATGCTCTTTATTTGGAAAGATTGAATATCAAAATGCAGATAATGCCAATTTACTTTTTTAAATTCATTATTTTACTTTAATTCATAGGATTAGATTTTCTTGCATTAATTTCAGAGAAGTATTCTGCTGAAAGCGGTAATTCCTAAAAAAAGACTAGGTTTATAGACGCTTATCAATGTTGTGGGGACCCTTATCATGAAAACAAATTACGCATCTATTTATTAAAAATTATTGGGAGCTCCTTGAGTCTCTTGCGTCATGACTTGTGCGATCCTGTAAATCCGCCTCTCCAGTGATTACATTTCCTAAGAATATATTAAAAGAGAAGAAAGAAACTGAAAATAGTATTAAATTGTTATTTGCTTTTGTTTCAACCTACTTTGATAATTTAAGACTTATTATTTTATTACCATATATAAACTCAATGTATATTGCATGTTCAGCAAATATGAAAGAAAGAAAAGTTAAAACTGACTTCATCTGTTAGTTATCTATTGTTAACGAAGATGGTGGACATTGAACACTATTCTTGTTAACACACTTCTGTTACAGACACAGCTAATATGCCACGCTTTGTTTTTTAATTTTTTTAACATTTTTAAGACGTTGCAGAAAATAAAGCAGTGACAGCGGTCTAGATACCGAGCGAATGCTAGAAGTCTAAAATGAAAATTTGGTGCCGAATGATTTAGTTCGGATTGGTCCCACTGGCCAGTTTGAAAAGTAGGTTCCCAAATTTGAAATTATTATTGGCTGAAGCTTTGTGTAATTACTTGCGTTATTAGCATTAAAGTCAATCATATGACAGATTAATTTTGAGATTACGCAGTTTAGGGAGGTTTTAATTGTAAACAGTTGCTATTTTTCGTTCGATATGAATGAAATAACCAAATTAAAAATGGAAAGATGGAAGAAATTAAAATAGTATTTTGTCCCACCTATTTTATCTCTTATATTTACACTAGTGTGCAAAACTTAAACAACTTTTCTGATTTTCGCTGTAATTCCGCAAAAAATGTCTGAGAGGCATGAAATTCATACTACAAGCTACAGAAGCAAAGTGTAGGATTAAGAAATAGAGCAGCAGCAAAAAAAGAATAGAACGCATAAAATACAAAATATAATGATTAAATTATTACTTTATTCTTGCTAGTAATGTTGCCTTTTTCTGTATATTTTTGCTACAAAATTATTACCTTCAAGGCTTTAGATCAATTCATTGCTTTACTTTTCTCCTTCTTCCCCCCCCCTTGCATTTGCACTCATTGTTAGTAGCTTTTTCTCTCTTTAAACTAATAAAATTTAACTAGGAATTGAATGACGCAATATCACTAATCAAATTCACAACTATTCTTCATAAATTTATATTAAAACCGAATCCAGATAACCACAATAAATTAAATTTACATAAAATATGATTTTATGATGTTCATTAGTCTGGCTTGCAAAATTAGATATGCACTAAGTACCCGATTATCCGTTGATAATACAAAAAAGACCCTGCGTATACTGAAATTGCACAGTCAATCCAGCCATCCATTGATAACAAAATTAAATTCTTTCATTCTTTGCCCTCTGTGGCACTAAATCGCGATATCACTCACAGAAGGTAAAAAGTAGTTTGCACTTATGATAAAGTTGTATAAAATCCTGCCCTAAAAAGTGAACTTTTAGGAGGTAAAGGAATGTTACTCTATTTAAGTCTTTCCCATCTGTAAGTCATACAAATGTCCCAGAGGACATTTAAAAAATTCTGAAAAGACAATAAATAATTAATGATTGTAATTAAAATTCGCTAAAATGCAAAGAGATATATAAAAATTTGCTAATTCAAATTAAATTAATGATAAGTAGTTCAATAATAAGATAAAATACCCAACGTCATCTTATTTGAAACTACTAACGGAATTACAATTTCACTAAAAAGGTAGGAAACAGCGAGATTTTCTCAGCTGAATTTAAACCTTGAATATACAGTATATAATGTACTGTTTCAAGTGGGCATAATAGAAACAACGGTCATTCTTTTTCTAGCACACCAGCAAAAATATCTGATGTGGACACTATATGACTTCCTTGTACGGCCTATTAAATTATACACATTTTTTGCTGCACTTCATTTAAGCTTATTTCCTCGAATTTCATTAGAGATATAGTTTTCATTCAATTAATTCTGTTTTCATTCTGCGGCAAGGAAAAAATATGTAAAAACTCAAAACATTTCATTAAATTCAAAATTATCTTTTAAACTAGCGGTAACACTTTAATTCTTCTTTATTCTACAAAATCGTAAAATTGCTTTTCTGGTCTGTATCATTTCTAGATAATCCATCTTGCATGACTTGCGTAACGATGACTGCGTAGTTAACTCTGAACATGAACTCAAAATTTCCAGAACCTTCTAATCTAAACCAAAACCTTCTCTTGGTGAGCCTCCATATTGGATAATTGCATTGAGTTTACCATTCTTGGTAGTTTGAACTGTAACTACTGACTGTACTCTGTGTTACTGTGAAGAGCTGCACGAATATTTTTCTGGAAAGTGTCAGAACTGTGAAGTGTTTCTTATCAAGCTATCATCAGTTCTGTGTGCATTCAATCTAATACGAACGCGTATGTACATAACAATACATATATGGTAAGTTTTGTCATTTTTACAGTTCTTATTGTGCCACTATGTCTTCGAATACAACTAATGTTTAATGCAACTATCTGCAAGAAGTATGCGTGTCTAGTATGGAAAAAGAAGAATGCCAAAAAAATTGTGATGTGTACACAGCCACTTTGCTCTGAAATGCCGAGAATTCTGCAATTCTGATTTTTTTTAAAAAACATAAAACAGGTCACTGTGCATACAGACTAAGAAAACAGAATAGGATTTTATTGTTTATTAAAGTTAAGTATTTTACTGTTTATATTTGTTGCATTTTTAATTTAGTTAATTTGTTAGTGTTTTAAAATTTTGAGTGTTCATTTATGGATGCTTGTTTCAAGTAACGTTTACGCTTCATTACAGATGTTTCTTACGTTTTTAATTAATTCGTTGTCGTTTATGTAATTTCAGCGCGCCGCCATTTTTTTGGATAGTATTGTTTTTCACGTGTTACGTTGGCGAAAAAGTAGTCAGCAACGACTGACGACTTCGCCAAAAGTACCAAAGTCCTATAAAAGTGACCATTTTCATAGCCTCTATTTGATTAAAAAGTCTGCATAAGTTTTTTTCTGCACTAGCGTCGTATGTGTTTGAGACGTTTATCTTAATAATTTATTACTTTAAACCCGTTTAACGTGGAATTATATCTAGATTAACTTGCATTTAAGAAAATACACAACGGTTTCCCATTCTATTGTAAATTTTGAGTAATTGAAACCATCGATACTGAATCAGCGGATACGACGGCACGGCCAAGGTGATCACTTTCAGTATTTTTTTAAACGAAAGATTTACCAATTCTCAAACAAGCTTTCATAAATTTATTACACTTTCTGCAGAATAATATTTTAAATTGGGTTTGGATTGCTTTTGTTGTTTTGTTTCATTAAAAGCATCAGCAAGGAAAGGCAAGCTTGCATTTAGAAGTTATTTTAACACTTTCTTATAGCTAAAATTAAAATTTTACGAGATCAAAAAATTTTCTGTTGGAATTATAGCTTAGTGTCATAAAAGAAACGCTCCGGCTAGAATTATGTAAAAAAAACTGGTGGGCTGCGGCCCAATATAAGTTCTGTATATAATGTTTGTTGTCAAATCGTTATTATTCTTATTTAAATATTATTTACTGGATAAATACGAATTATTTATAAGTGTAACATTCTTCTAGAGCTGCTGTGCCGGTTACGTGGTCAGAGCGGACAGTGGCTACAGAGGACACGTGAGGGTAGCTGGGTGGGCAGAGCGGACATTCTTGCACCTATTGTGTTGTTTACCTAATCAGTCACATGTCATGTATTGTGTAGTTTCGAGCTTCGCAACTGCTGCATAGATAAGCCGATTAATTTAAGAAAAAAGGTTTTTCTCATTTTCTCAGTAGATGTTTGATCCTTATGAAGTGTGCATGTCGTTTTATAGCCTCGAAAAAATCTATGATGGAACCCATAGCCATTTCAACAAAATTACTCTCTACAAAAAAGGAAAAGAACGTTTAGTTGTAGATGATTACCCTCACCGTTTACACCGAAAAAATAAATTAGGTATGAATTGGGTATGTAAGACAGATCTTTGTGAAGGAAATGTAAAGACAAATTTTCAGTACGAAGTACTGAAGAAAACTGAACATTCCTGCGTGCCCAATATTGCTGAGACGGAAGTTAAAAAGAAGTTCGAGACTTGCAGAAAAGAGTCCGAGAAGGAACATCAGTTCCCGTTCCCCAGATATTTCAAGAACTTTCAGAATTATATCAGAAAGGATATGATTTAAATGTCTCAAGATATGATTTAAATACCGACATTCTGACACTCTCCTCTTTTTGGTCCTCAGTTAAATTATGAGGAACCCAAAAGCAAATTAATTTTTTCATATGCAATTCTTCATGAATAATTTTATGTATGGCAGCTGATCCAGTGTTAAGCTCCTTCTGTATCATTTGGTAGGCGCAGCGATTATCATCGATTAAAATTTTCCGTGTGGCAAACATATTATTATGCTGCTGACAACGGCCTTCCTGTGTGTTCTTCATCCTGAAGAAAGTTGCGACATTTGTGAAATTCTATAAACCATTTGAATACAGTAGTAAGAGATGGAACTTCATTTCAAAATGGTAACTGCAGACGGTGAACGCATTCTTCTTGATTCAGTGTCACTTTAAAATCATAGAAAATCATAGCCCGATAATGTTACTGCGTGAACTTTTTCTTTCTGCCTAAAATTTATTCTACTCTAAATTA